CCAGTCGTTGCATTCCATTAGGATAAATTTCACTGTGGCTTCTTTTGTACAACCAGAAGAAAGCACCCTCACACAGTTTTTCCCACACTGGACCCATTAGCATGGGGGGAGGGGGCCCGGGTGAGAGTTTTTAATCTCTACCGATGACATTCTTAAGAATTCAAAAACATGAAGCAGGCAAAAATGAAACTGCTCCTGAAAATGAACTCTGGCTTTAGCAACTTCCTGTGGCAGGTGCAGCGCGGACTGGGGGAGCTAAATCTACTACAGCAACAGCAGGGCCACGGTTTTTGTTGGATTTTTTTTTTTTTCATCTGAGCCCAGATTTAGCTTCCAGATAGCCACTAGAGCAAAACTGCGACTTTGCAGCCGGTTCTGGATTGATCTGTAGCCTCTAGCAGCTGATGTGAAAATGATTCCAGGCCTCACTGCTGAGGCACGGTGGGGGCTGGCACCTCCTCCCGCTCCCTCTTGGGCTCCGGCTGCACCCTCTGTGGGCCCTCCCTCCACAATCGCGCATACCCCCATCGCTTGGGGCACAAAAAGGACATTGTTTCCCCTTAAGATGGCCCAAACCGCAGTAAACACACTTCAAACCCAGAGCCAGCCCGAGCGTGCACCGTCCCCCAACAGCAGCATGGGCTGGAAGACACATCACACTTGCAAAGCCCTTGTGGACTGAAGTTCCTTGGCTGCAGCCTGCCCTGGCAGCGGTCGTCCGGGTAGGCACTTCTTGCCCTTCCTAGAATAAAGCAGGGTTGCACGCGGGCTTCCACGGAGACCAGATTCATCTCACACGTCGGCAGATTGAACACAACCAAACACAGCAGTGCACAATGGCAGGGCATATCAAGCAGACATCTCTGAGGTGGGAAACGCATACAGACGGCACTGTATTTAGCAGGGCAGGGGCCGAGGGGGCCTCCACGGATTTCTGGAAACCATGGATAATTTGCCATTTTCCTTGCTCTGTCACTGAAAGACCCCTCTGTTTCCCCCCTCCTGCCTTGTTTCCCCCTCCCCCTTACCCCCCTTTCCACAACTGTCATGGATCATCAGTAAAGAAAATAGGGAATTGTTTCTCCTCTCCAACCCCACCCTGTTGCTCTTAGCCAGCGACACAACCGGGCATCCGCGGGTGCACTTAACGCACGCTCAGACAGGACCGCGCCAGCCTCTGGTGACAGCAGTCCCTGTCCCCTCCCCTTGAGTAAGGGCACCTTCTCCTTCCTTTTTCTTTTTTCCTACAACGATTTCAACCGTTTCTTTCTGAGAGATGCTACTCCTCCCGCCCCCAGGTAGCTCCAGAAGGCAGAGGATGCTGGAAGCCCCACAGTCCTGTTTGGAAGCAGCCTCACCCGGTGCACCATTCCCCGTCGAGGCTGGCATGGCCCGGCAGCTTTATAAACTCGGTGCAGTGCAGCGCCCTGCCCCTCGCACCTGAGTGCTGAGAGCGCCCGCGCTACTCGCCGATCATAAACCGCAGCTGAGAGTTCATGTGTACTATTTTTTAAATACAGCCTTGGAACCTCACAACCCTCAGACGTGCACACACATCCCACAGCACGGCTGAAGTTCATGTCCTGTCTAAGCAACCTTGGGCGGGTGGGGGTAATGGGATGGTGACCCCTCATCCCAACACATTCCAATCGTCATACCAGTACTTGCAGTCACACGACTAACCTCGCAAACTAGTTCCCATTACAGCATCTCTAAACTGTTGTCTGTCAACCTCAGACTTCTGGGTTTGTGAAAGCTGAAAGAGGCGGCAGCAGGCAGGCCGTCTGACCCAGCCCTGCATCCACAAAAGGGCTCAAAGACCCTGGACATGAACGCCAAATGGGGTCTGTGCGTGGTCAGTGGTGTGAGGAAGATACTTGCCCACAAATGAAATCTGGACTCATCTCTGGCTCTCCAAGCCTACCGTCATCATAATTCCAAGCTCATCTCTAAACCCCGAAACAGTTGTGCGACTGCACAGGCTGCTTTGTGTTTACATGTGCTGATCACATTGATTTATTACACATGAGACCTCACATTTTACCACCCCTCCCACACACACACTGCTATTTTGGCCTGCCCTCATTTAAGAAGAAAAAGCCACCAAGACTCCCAAGAGATCCTGGGAGTATCCGATGCCTAGGCCCACCCAAGGGCCCCTCCCTACCTCCCATTCTAAAGAAAGCTGGTTCCTCCACCTGTGTGTTGACTTCAGAAAACTCCTTTGGATAAGGACGTGAAATCACCTGCCTGCTGGTCTCAATGGGACTCCAGGGCTGCCTGGAGCAGGCGTGCACCTGCCGGCTGGCCTCTGAATGCCTTTCAGGGGTCCTTCCCTCCCCTGCCCTCCCAGGCTCCTAGCCACAGGAGGACCCTAGTCCTGGTATCACTTGGAACACCTCTGAGCTGTAACATAAAAGTGGCCAAGCTGCTCAGGGGTTTAGATGCGTCCAGGTCAGGAGAAAGGATGAGAAAGCCAGAAACATATTCTAGTATGGATGAGTTGGCCCTAGGCATTTGCCAGTGGTGACTTCAACTTGTGGTGCACATTTTCAGAGATTCTGATTCCGGGGGTGTGGGGTGGTGTCCCCCATCACCACCACCAGCCATCCCACGTGACCACAGTGTGAGAAATTCTGATGTCATCCTTGGTCCTCAGGACCATCTGCTTCCACCACCCACCCCTGCTTCCCAGCAGACCCGCAGCTGGCTGTCTCCCACACCACGCAGCCAGAACACCTGTGCAGTGCTCAACACCTGCTGGGAGCGGGCTTACTACCCGTCCTTCCCACCTTATTGCCCTCTGAGAATGAGGGCTTCCATAGATGTGCTCAGGCACTGGGCTTGGGGGCATTTTGCAGGCAGGAGAAACCTTTGCCTGTCCCAGAGGGGTATGCATCCTCCATAAAGCAGCTCTGCCTTTCCCCCTGCAGCAGAAAGTCCTTGGCCCCATTCTCATCCTGCCACAGTCAGCTCCACCCTCGGTGGGTCACTTTTAGAGCGCACTTCTGAAAAGCCCAAGCAGCAAGGTCTAATGTCCATGGAGAAGCCAGGCCGCCTGCCTGCTCAGCTCAGCTCAGAGGGAGGAGGGGACAGCGGCAGGAGAAAGCAGAGACCCCTGTTGGCTCATGGCTTGTCCTTGTGTACACGGGAAGAGGTGCCCTCTCAGGACAGGCGTAGCTCACGTTCTGGTGTGTGGCTTGGCAGGTGGTAGGGAGACTAGATTTTATCCCCCACTCAGGCCCTGTGCCAGATGCCCTTGTACTGAGAACCAGAGGCACAACTACAAGTGACAGCCCTGCTCAGAGAGAGCCACAGGAGCAGGGGACAAAGATAAAGAGATAAAGAGAGGCCGCCACGGCAACTGAAGGCCTGCCACGGCTGCCGGGTACCCCCTGCCCCCTGGGTCCCCACAGAAGCCCCATCCAGACTGACCCCCTGTGGCCACCAGTCACCCCACTTCTCTCTTCTGCTTTCGACTGGCTGGCTGTCCAGGTGCCCGGCAGCTGAAACAACCCACACATGTCTACTCTAATGGACCCTAGCCATGCCAGTTGTCTCTTCCAGGAGTCTGGGAAAGGAGCTGCAGTGGGTTAAACAGTGGTCCCCCACCTAGAACTCAGGATGCAACCTTTGGGGGTGTAATTAAAGTAAAGAGATCAGAATAGACTGGGCCTTAAATCCAAGTGTCCCTTCAAATAGCAGAGGAGGAGACACAGGGAGACCAGGGGGAAGACCATGTGGGGACAGGAGGCAAGGCAGGTGCCTACTGAGGCCCCAGGGAGGGTGATCAGGTGAGGGGTGTGGGCAGATGTTCCTCAGAGCCTCCAAAGGCAGCCGCCCCTGCAGACACCGTGGGCTTGGACTTCCGGCCGCCTGAATGGGATGGAAGAAAGTGCTGTGACTTCAGGCCACGAAGTTGCTGCTATTTTGTTGCATCAGCTCGGACAATAAAAACACAGGGTCCAGATGTGTCAGAGGGGACGCACGAAAGCCCCAGGGAGAGAAGCCAAGGCCAGCTCAGGGTGAGGCCACTGAGCTCCTGCTGGCTCTCACAAGTGCCAGCAGCCCCTGGGCTCCTGAGACGCCCCAGAAGGCAACCAGCACGCCCCTTGAAGGCATTCCGGAACGGGCAGGTTTACTGCACCAAGAGAAGCTTCTGCCAGAGGGCTCCACCACGTGCGGGCCGCCCTCCTGGGCCCCCTCCAAGAGATGCAGGCACAGGAACTCAGGGGTGGCATTGGAGGGGGCAACGTCCAGGAGATGCCCGAGGGGAGGGGGCTCCCAGCAATGGGCAGTGAGGGGCTGGGTAACAGCCAAGGGAGCTGGGTGAGGCGAGCACTCACTGCGTCCGACACAGGACGTCACCGCACTCCTCCACCCATTACCAGGCCCAGGTGAAGATCAACAGCCTGTCCCGTTTCTTTACCACGCTCGTGTCCGTGAGCAACATGATTTTGCCAGGGCTCCGAGGACGATTGCCATCACCATCACTCATCGGCCGCGCGGTTACGAAAGCGCCCAGCCAAGATCAGCCCTCCCAGAGCTGCTGCGGGTCCTATTTTACAGACGGGGAGAAGTCGAGTTCCAGGAGGTTCAATCGCTTGCCCAAAGTCACGCGGCCCCGAGCAGCTGGAGAGGGGACGCGAACTCACACTCCCAGACAGCTCCGGGTTTCCGCAGCTTGCCCGCGCCCCGCCTCCCCTGCCCGGCCCAGCGAGGGGCGCTCGGACTGCCCGCGAGGAGCGTGCCTCGGCCGCTAATCGCCGCCGCCCCCGCCTCCGATTCACTGCCGGGAGACGCCCGGCCCGCTGAGCCCGAGCCGGCTCCCGGGTCCCGGCGACGCCGCCCATTGGCCAGCGGTAATTACGGGCACGCTCCGGCCGGGGGAGGGGCGCGGGCGGCCTCCCGCGAGCATAAATTATGCAAATACCCGGGCGCCGCACGGGGCTGACCTGCCGCCGCGCTCCTTTCACCGGGGCTGCCGCGGGGGCGAAGGTGGCAGGGGAGGGGGGGCGCCCATTGTTGCGCCGGGTACTTAAGGGGTCCTGAGGCCGGTCGTGTGCCACACTCGGCGCTCACACGAGCTGATCTGATCGCCGGCGACATCACTCGGGAGACCGGCCGGGCGCGTGGCCCCTGCAAGCGAGGCCAAGTTCCCCGTACGCCCCTGCGCCCTTCCGGCCCGCGCGCCCGCACAGGGCAGAGTAACCCCGGGCCGTTCGGGACGTAAGTGCGCCCCAGCTGCCGTGCCCTCAGCCCCGGCGGGCTCCTGCTCTCTAGGCGCCCTCTCGTCCGTCCGTGCGTCCGGCTCAGCGCCAAGATGCCAGCGCCTCTGGAGACCTGCCTGTCCGACCTCGACTGCGCCAGTAGCAGCGGTGGCAGCGGCGGCCACCTGTCCGGCTTCCTCACCGACGAGGACGATTGTGCCAGGCTCCAGCCGCCGGTCTCGGCCTCGGGGCCGCCCGCGCCGGCCCGCAGGAGCGTGCCTGGGGTCTCCGGGGCGCCGGGCGTTGCGGACGCGCAGGACCATGAGCAGGAGCGGCGGCGGCGCCGCGGCCGCGCGCGCGTGCGTTCCGAGGCGCTGCTGCACTCGCTGCGCAGGAGCCGGCGGGTCAAGGCCAACGACCGCGAGCGCAACCGCATGCACAACCTGAACGCGGCGCTGGACGCGCTGCGCAGTGTGCTGCCCTCCTTCCCCGACGACACCAAGCTCACCAAGATCGAGACGCTACGCTTCGCCTACAACTACATCTGGGCCCTGGCCGAGACCCTGCGCCTGGCGGATCAAGGGCTGTCCGGGGGCGGCGCCCGGGAGCGTCTCCTGTCGCCACAGTGCGCCCCCTGCCTGCCTGGGCCCCCGAGCCCGGCCAGCGACGCCGAGTCCTGGGGTTCCGCGCCCGCCGCCTCCCCCTGCGCAGCCGCCGCCTCGCCGCTGTCCGACCCCAGCAGCCCGGCCACCTCCGACGACTTCGCCTACGGCCCCGGCGACCCCCTCTTCTCCTTCCCCAGCCTGCCCAAGGACTTCCTCCACACGACGCCCGGCTTCATCCCTTACCATTAAGCCCGTGGTAGACACGGCCGCCACCCCCGCCCCCAGGCCGTCGGGACCCCAGCTGCCTCCCGGGGGCGCCGGGAGGAAGCGAGGGCTCGAGGGGCGGCGGATACCGGAGCCCTGCGCCCCCGCCGGCTGCGCCCGGGTCCGTTTGCGCAGCCCTCAGCCCCGGGGCCCCTGCTGCCCGCCCCAAGTCGGACTTGGCTTTTGCACTTTGTGAACTCCACAAAACCGCCTTTGTGGCGGGCCAGGAGCTGACCCCGGCCAGCACTCCAGTGTGATTTAGAAAAGCGACGGATCAGCCCCCGAAGACGAGGTGAAAAGTCAATTTTACAATTTGTAGAGCTCTAATGAAGAAAAACGAGCATGAAAATTCGGTTCGAGCCGGCTGACAACACGATGAAGAGGCTGGAAAGGGCGGCGACGAGGAGGGGGCTCCGCGCACCCATGCAGACGCCGGGCTGCAGAGTGCTTTAATTTATTCGAGATGCTTCGTTCATATGAAAGTGTATTTTTGTACATAAAGAGTTTATTCTATTATTATGAACTATCAAAGTTTACATTTTTGTACTGCAGATGGTCGGTGTAAATAAAAAATAAGTAAAATTAAAAAAAAAAAAGTCCCTGGTTTCTGGCCTACTGCTAGTGTCTCCATCCCTCCTTCCCTACCCCCCATCCCCGCCGCCGCTGCTGGCTCAGCCCCTGCTGTGAACACGACCCCACCCAGCTCCAGCCTCCAGTCCGGTTCCAAAACAACCAAAAATAAAACGTGCCTGATTTCCCCCATGAGACAGATAAAGACAGACCCGGGTGTTCGGGCTCTGTCTTTTCCTTTCTCCTTGTAAACTCCAGGGGGATCTTTCAGGCCCCCGTGAACCAACCAATTAAGACTTTTTAGTGGGGAATTAGCCCCGCACGCGCAGCTACCTGTAGAGGTAGGGGCGGTGGGAGAGTCTTTCTTTTCAGGGGCTCCACGTCAGCTGGCTCTGTTTCAAAGAGAGGGGATTAGGGAGATCAATGCAGTGTGACCACTGGCGAGGAAGTCCCGGTGACAGGTGGGCCTGGGCAGGGCAAGCAGAAGGGGCCACTTTTCTAACAGCCTACTTACAGAGGGGAATTCTCTTGGAAACAATACCTCCCAATCGTGGTCCATTGAGACGGGGTTCACACTGGCTGTGAGGCACGGGACACACCGTGCTGGTGTGGTGTTCCTGAGTGGGGTGTGCAGCTGCCGCAAATTGTGAGCTAGGGTGCCTGCACCCTCCCCCACACCTGGACCCCGCGGCCCACGTGCACACACAGGCGCACACCCACTGAGGCTCTGAGTGGGAGGGCGAGTGACACTTGCAGAGGGAGGCACGGGTGCAGGGTTTGCTGGCTGCGTCCTGGGGCCCATAGCCAAAGATTGGGGCTGCTCCCAGAGAAATCACTGCCCACGCTCGGCGGGGATCTTCGCTGTGGCGTGTGTGTGTCTGTTGTCTGCTGATTCTCTCCAGGCACCAGCCAGCGGCAGCTCTTGTTTTAAGTCTCAGAATGTGGGTTTTATAAGAGAGAGTTCCTGAAACTGCCTGTTCCCCAGCTCACAAGCTGACCCAAAGGCCATTCTCCCCTCTGCCCTCCTCCCCACCTCCTGCCTGGCACTTGGCTGTCTTGTTCCATGATTTTCATAAAGACAATTACTTTGCCTGGGAGTGGGGTTGTGCAAGTGAGCCCAGGAAAATGGCGTTCGACTGCATTAGGGAAATATCCGCGTTGGGGGTAAACAGAAGCAGAGGCCAGAGGGAAGCTATTGACCACAGCTCTCTTTGTGCAAGGCTTGTCTCTCTGCACATAGACTGGCCTTGCTGAGTTGGAGCCACAGGTTCATTCATTGGGTCCCCAGCAGGCACTGCTAACCCCACCCAGGGTAAGGTGCACTCCTTCAGACTAAAAAGGCTACTTTGCAGAAGATCCCGGAAGTTCAGATTCTTTCTCTAACTCTAGCACACACAGAGTCCTCCAGGAAAAGCGTCAGAACTCATGAAAGCTGAAAACAGAATCACTTCTGCTAAAAAAAAAAAAACTCCAGAGAAAAGTCCGTCTCTGCAAGCACCCAACCTGGCCCTGCACTGTTGTCTGCCTCAGAATGAATTCGGTCAACTCACTTTGCGGTTTCCTAGACCAGAAGCGCAGACAGTCTGCAGGGGATTCTCTGCTCTGCCCCGCATGGGGTGCCTGGAAGTGACTCCCTCCAACTTTGTAAGCAGCCCAGGGCCAGACCTGCAAGGAGCTAGGCCCCCCATGCAGACTTTTAACCAGTGACATAGGTGCAGCTGTCTGGGCCAGAGGAAGAGAGCCTTCATCACCGTCCAGGCTTACTGGGACAAGCACCAGCCAACCTTTCAAGCAGGAGCCGTGGTTCAGCTGCCTTACAGGGGAGCACCAGAGAAGAACGGCAAACCACGCATGCTCTCTGTTTTGTTGCCACAATAGAATTACAACCCAAAAGCACCTTTCCAAAATAATAGTCTTTGGTGACATCATTTGCTGGGGGAGCCCCCACCCTTGCCAGCTAATACCACTCTAAGGAAGAAAACATGTGAGCCCTTCAAAAAATTAATAGAAAGTGCATGTTATGAAAAAAGTATGCAGGGACTTCACAAATGTTTGCACCAATGTAAGTTTAGCTTTTGAATTCTCTTTAAATTCTGTTTTTCCACAAACTTCGGAACTCTCAAACTGAAGGACAGTGATTTAAAACGTTTATCCCACGGGCTGGCATTGTGGTATAGTGAGAAATGCTGCCACCTGTAATACTGGCATCCCCTGTCAGCACCAGCTCGAGTTCCAGCTGCTGCACTTCTGATCCAGCTCCCTGCCGATGACCTGGGAGAGCAGTGGACGATGGCTCACATGCTGGGAGTCCTAGATGAAGCTCCTGGTCATCTGGGAAGTGAACCAGCAATGGAAGATCTCTCTATGTCTGTCTGTCTGTCTAACTCTGCTTTCTTTTTCTTTTTTTAAAAAAAATTATTTATTTAACTCTGATTTCAAATAAATTAATTAATGTTAAAAAATATTTATCCCAGAGCAGATGTTTGGCCAAGTGGTTTAAATGACCATGCTCCAGGGCAGGCAGCAGCTTAAGCTGCCACTTCAAACACCTGCCAGGGATCAAGTCCCCCTCTGCTTCAAATCCACAGAAGCAACAAATGAAGGCTCAAGTACTTGGGTCCCAGCCTCCCACATGGGAGACCCAGATGGAGTTCCTGGCTTCAACCTGTGGACTAGCCAAAGCCTGGTTGTTGGTGTCAATTGAAGGTGAACCATCGGATGGAGGTGCTTCTGTCTCTCTCTATGTCACTCTGCCTTTCAAATAAATAAATAAAAATAAACTTGTACTTTCTTTTAATGTATTAAGTGGAGGATATTCTTATGTCTAATAAGTTATAGTATGTCTAAGTGCTCACAAAAGATGCATCATTCTTGGGTACTTCTTTAAAGTTAATTAAATTTCTTAAAAAAAAAAAAGAAGTGAAATTAACTTTGAGATGCAATGACTTTAAACAACCCTTGTCCCCACTGTTGAGGAAAAGTTTTTTGTTGTTGCTGTTTTTTGTGCAAATTGTTGAACTCCACTTAGTATACAGTTGGTCTTCTGTGTATGAAGTTAATTGAAAAGAGATCTTGGGGCTGGCACTGTGGCATATCGGGTAAAGCCACCACCTGCAGTGCCGGCATTCCATATGGGCACCAGTTTGAGTCCCGGCTGCTCCACTTCCCATCCAGCTCTCTGCTATGGCCTGGGAAAGCAGTAGAAAATGGTCCAGGTTGCCAGCACCGCGGCTCACTAGACTAATCCTCCGCCTTGCCGCACCAGCACACGGGGTTCTAGTCCCGGTCGGGGCGCCGGATTCTGTCCTGGTTGCCCCTCTTCCAGGCCAGCTCTCTGCTCTGGCTAGGGAGTGCAGTGGAGGATGGCCCAGGTGCTTGGGCCCTGCACCCCACTGGAGACCAGGAAAACCACCTGGCTCCTGGCTCCTGCCATCGGATCAGCGCGGTGCGCCGGCCGCAGCGCGCCGGCCACAGCAGCCATTGGAGGGTGAACCAACGGCAAAGGAATACCTTTCTCTCTGTCTCTCTCTCTCACTGTCCACTCTGCCTGTCAATAAAATAAAATAAAAAAATAAATAAATAAATAAAATGGCCCAGGTCTTTGGCCCAGGTGCAGGGGCAACCGAGTGGGAGACTCAGAAAAAGGTCCTGGCTCCTGGCTTCAGATTGGTGCAGCTCTGACCTTTGAGGCCAACTGGGGAGTGAACCAGCAGATGGAAGATCTCTCTCTCTCTCTCTGCCTCTCCTTCTCTATGTAGCTCTGACTTTCAAATAAATAAATACTTTTTTTTAAAAAGAAAATGGATCTTAGTGGAGAATGGGACTGGGAATGGGAGAGCCATGCCAGCATCTGTAGGAGGGAAGAGGAGGAGGAGGAGAGTGGGAGTGTGGGTGTGGTGAGAAGAATCATTATATTCTTAAAGTTGTGCTTAAGAAATGCATGAAGTTTATATTCCTTAAAAAAAGGTTTCTTTTGGGAAAAAAATAAATAAACTTTTTAAAACATGCCAATATTCCACATGGGAATCCATGGGTTCCAGTGCCCCTGTTGCAGCTACTGACGCCAGCTTCCTGCCAACGCAGACCTGGAGACAGCGATTAGGATCCTGCCACTCCCGTGGAAGACCCAGTTTGAGTTGCTCTCTCCTAACTGGCTTTGGCCTCAGCTGTTGTGATGATCTGGGGAAAGAACCAGCAGATAGGAGCACTGTCTTCTCCATCTCTCTGCCTCTCAAATGCATAAATAAAAATTTAAAAATAAGTAAATAAAATAGACTCCCCACCCCCAGCTCACTGGCCTCTTTGTTCCTACAGCAGACTCATGCATCCACTGGTGTCTGTGAGGTACGTGGGAGTAATTAAAATACTCTCATCAATTACAGGACATAGAACTCCCTGGTGGCAACCACTGCACCTCACTGTGCTCAACATAACTTGTTACTGCGAAACCAGTGGGCACTGAAGAAGCCTCCCTTGCTCCCCACCTTGACCTCTTCATTTGTTTTTCTCCTGATGAAACACATGTATTTCTGTAGATGGCTTCCAAGACTGAAAAACCAAGCAAAGGAAGAGTCGGTTGAAACAGTAAAAGGAAGCCCCCAGGCACCCTCTGGTTTCTGTCCTGACTCTTCATCAAGCACCTGCCATGGGCCCAGCACCCTCCTAGGCAAAGCCCCGGCCTGCAGGGAGCTCATATTCCAGTGGGGAGAGCTGACTTACAAGGGACGGTGGTAAGTGCTAAGAAGGGGAACGTGGAACCCAGCTGGGAAAGAGAGTGCTCTGGAGCCCAGGTGCTCAGGCAAGGTCTTTTTCTCAGGAGGTGGCATCTGAGCAAAGTCCCAGACGAAGAGGGGGTGGGGCCAAGCCATGCCAGCATCTGCAGGAAAGCACCCTGGGGAAGGCAAGACGAGGGCAAGGCCCTGGCTTGCGCCGTGTGCTACAGGAGCAGCAAGGAAGCTGGAGCAGGGAGCACGATGGAGCATGGATGCCGAGGGGGTCAGGGCGCCATGCAAACCACACTGAGCTTTGTAAACCAGTGCAGGATGACTGGAGGTTTGAAAGGGGTGCTGTGAATTGACTTATACTCATGATTTTGAAGGTCATGCTGGCTGTTCTTTTTTGTTTTTTAAAGACTTATTTTATTTATTGGAAAGGCAGGATTACAGGCAGAGAGGAAGAGACAGAAAGAGATCTTCCATCTATTGGTTCACTCTGCAAATGGCCAGGGGCTGGCTGGGCTAGGCCAAAGCCAGAAGCCAGAAGCCAGAAGCCAGGAGCTAGGAGTTTCTTC